GCATGCAAGATTTACAATTCAGTGTAAGAAGCTACAGAGGAAGAGGCGGGCAGGTGGCCCTGGCTTCCGAGACAGTAGGAGGACTGTGGCGGCACATCCAACCAGACGTGCCTTGGGCGGCAATGCCCTGGTGTGAAGGGCATTTGAAACAAGCTAATTCTGAAAAGCTACACAGACTGGAAGACGGACTCCAGAGAAGGATCCGGGGAGGTTAAATTACCTTTCTGGGCACTGCTCTCCCCAGGGCAACGCAGGGTGGAACAGAAGAGCCCGACGTTCACCCCAGGAGTGGCAAAAGAGGCCTTGTCGCTGGCCACGGCAATGTCACAGCTGGCCACCAGCTGACAGCCGGCAGCTGTGGCCAAGCCATTGACCATGGCAATGACGGGGACGGGGTGGTTCCGGATCAGCATCATGACCTGCGGGAGCAGACACACCTGTTCACTTCCATGCAGAGCGAGGCATGGTGTTAGCACCCATCATTTTATTTATTTTATTTTTTTTTTTTTTACAAAAAACATCTATATTTTAGTCTTCAAAGAAGAAATTCCTTTCTCCTTTTTCCAAGATAATCATGATTAACTTACAAAATGGGTATACATCTTCAAAGTGCTTCCCTTTAATGGGAAACTGCTTTATAGGATCTAAATATTAAAAAGTAAAAAAAAAAAAATCCATTTTTTTGTCATTTTAAGACAAAACAGAATCTAGAATAAGTCAAGAAAACCCATTCATACTTCAGTCCTTCCAGGAACATCTCTCTTAAGAGAGATGTTCCTGGAAGGACTGAAGTATGAATGGTTTTCTTGACTTATGCTAGATTCTGTTTTTGTCTTAAAATGACAAAAAAATGGATTTTTTTTTTTTTACTTTTTAATATTTAGATCCTATAAAGCAGTTTCCCATTAAAGGGAAGCACTTTGAAGATGTATACCCATTTTGTAAGTTAATCATGATTATCTTGGAAAAAGGAAGAAAAGAATTTCTTCTTTGAAGACTAAAATATAGATGTTTTTTGTAAAAAAAAAAAAAATAAAATAAATAAAATGATGGGTGCTAACACCATGCCTCGCTCTGCATGGAAGTGAACAGGTGTGTCTGCTCCCGCAGGTCATGATGCTGATCCGGAACCACCCCGTCCCCGTCATTGCCATGGTCAATGGCTTGGCCACAGCTGCCGGCTGTCAGCTGGTGGCCAGCTGTGACATTGCCGTGGCCAGCGACAAGGCCTCTTTTGCCACTCCTGGGGTGAACGTCGGGCTCTTCTGTTCCACCCCTGCGGTTGCCCTGGGGAGAGCAGTGCCCAGAAAGGTAATTTAACCTCCCCGGATCCTTCTCTGGAGTCCGTCTTCCAGTCTGTGTAGCTTTTCAGAATTAGCTTGTTTCAAATGCCCTTCACACCAGGGCATTGCCGCCCAAGGCACGTCTGGTTGGATGTGCCGCCACAGTCCTCCTACTGTCTCGGAAGCCAGGGCCCACCTGCCCGCCTCTTCCTCTGTAGCTTCTTACACTGAATTGTAAATCTTGCATGCGGTAGTAGTGTTAGCTGCCATGGCTAGGCCAGGAGTGGCCTAGGACCATCCATGTTGGGACCGTGACTTTGAAAGCTATTTATTTTAATTTTTGACACAGAGTCTCATTCTCTTGCCTGGGCTAGAGTGTCATGGCGTCAGTCTAGCTAACAGCAACCTCAAACTCCTGGGCTCAAGCGATCCTCCTGCCTCAGCTTCCTGAGTAGCTGGGACTACAGGCATGCACCACCATGCCCGGCTAATTTTTTCTATTTTTAGTTATTAGGCTAATTTCTTTTTATTTATAGTAGAGACAAGGTCTTGCTCTTGCTCAGGCTGGTCTCCGGCTCCTGAGCTCAAGCAATCCTCCTGCCTCGGCCTCCCAAAGTGCTAGGATCACAGGCGTGAGCCACCACACCCGGCCCAGTACCTGTCATTTTATATAGAACTTTACCGTTTGCAGAGCACTTTTCGGATGTATCAGTTCATCAGATTCTATGGGAAAAGGCACACAAAAAAGCACTAACTTGTATGAAATATCTGCTCTGAACCAGACTGGTATATTCTGTTCTTCCTGAAAACCCCATGAAGGAGGAACCCTATTTTTCAAGAAAGTCACTAAACTCTTAGGGGGACGTCACCTGCCTGAGGCCACCTGGCGGGAAATGGGGGAACTGGGTGATGCAGGGTCTGTGGCCCCAAGAGATGGCAACACACCCCCAACCCCACTGCAGAACAGCGTGGATGTTTATCTCTGGGGAACAAACAAAGCCCTTCACAAGCAGCCCAGCTCTCCCCCTTGCCTGTGTGTGGCTCTTGTGTTAAAAAGTCTGAAACTGGTATTTGGTGCTTCCTTGAAAAATGCAGGTGGAAAAGGCGATTTCCTTAGTAATTACTTCTCAAATTAGCACCAAGAATACTCTTCATTCTATTAAAATGGGGGTGGGGGAGGCAGGCTCTGCTGTCATCAAAATAAACAAAATTCCGAAAACAGAGCCACTGGCACAGAGAGGTGTGACCCCAGCCCCTGCCACAAATCCCCAGAACTTTAGCTTAGGTTTGCAGCTTATTTTTTCATGATGGCTCTAAACAGATTGTGTTGCCATGGTAACTTCAATTTCTAAATTGGTGCTCTTTGAACCTTTGCAGGGAGGGAGGGAGGGAAGATAGGAACTAAATCTGGGTTTCTTTCCCCAAGGCAGCAATTCAAAGAAAAATGACCTTCACTGATTTGAAGGTTTTTGTCTAAGAAACGTGTCTTTTATATTCGTACGCATTTTATATTTGTTAGCTTTATTCTAAAATAACCAGTTCTATATTGAAGGCTGTGGTGTCTTATTCTAGAGTGGTGGTTTATGACTTTTTGCGGGGAGGGGCCGCCTTTGGAGCATCTGATAAATGCTAATGACCCTCTCCCCTGTACACACCTGTACAGAAAACTGTGCGTGGATTTAGAGAGTTCGTGCTTCCCAAGGTGAGGTTGGGGACAGGTTGGTGATAGAGTTTGTTTCCAGTGAAATGGAATAACAAGCGGAGGGACTTGCAAGAATTTCTAGTCTTGATACAAAGAAAGATTTTTAGTTCTGAGTGTTGTCCATACCTCAGTGACTGAGGAAAAGCCAGCTGATTGGGATTGGAGTTGAACAATCTATGTCCTGTCTGCCATCTGTGGGCAGCTTGGATTACACAAAACCCAGTAGAAAAGGCGGCCTCAGTGGCTCACGCCTGTAATCCTAGCTCTCGGGAGGCTGAGATGGGTGGATCGCTCAAGGTCAGGAGTTCGAGACCAGCCTGAGCAAGAGCAAGACCCCGTCTCTACTATAAATAGAAAGAAATTAATTGGCCAACTAAAAATATATAGAAAAAATTAGCCGGGCATGGTGGCGCATGCCTGTAGTCCCAGCTACTCGTGAGGCTGAGGCAGTAGGATTGCTTCAGCCCAGGAGTCTGAGGTTGCTGTGAGCTAGGCTGATGCCATGGCACTCACTCTAGCCTGGGCAACAGAGTGAGACTCTGTCTCAAAAAAAACCCAGTAGAAAGATACTTACTTAATGCAGTGTATATTCAATAACATTAAAAATGCTTATACCTCTGATCTAGGGATTCTACTTCTAAGAAATAATCTGAAATAGGTAAAAAGTCCTATGGTCAAAGATGCTCACCAAATCATTGTTTTGTAACAGTAAAATATTATAAATCACATAAATATATAAAAATAAGTAAATGGCCATGTAAACTAAACTATATCCATTGGAGAGCATGCTGTATTCTCATTAAAATGAAATTTTCCAAAGGAAATACCAGCATGGCAGTCTGGAGCTTGTTGGCTAACCTTGTATGAGTCAGTCCCTCAGTTTCCACATATGTAAAATGGGTATAATAATAGTACCAACCTTACAGAATATGACAATCATGCACATTAATGTGCCTAAAGTACTTAAAATGTCATCTGGCATATAATAAGCATTCAGTGCTATAATCATACAATTAAACACTATAATCACGCCTATATGTGACTATTCACACAAACAGGAACGCAGGAAAAAAATGATTTAAAAGAAATATATGGTGCGTCACTGAGGATTCCAAGTTATTTCTAAAAGCGAGAGACTTTGTCTGGTTGTCATTTCGTTTGTGGGGTGTAAGAAGTGAGAGAGAAGGATCCTTCTCAGACTTGAGTTTCCATCTCCAAACTTCAACAAACTATTAGGACAGAGACAAGGGACAAGTCCCTAGCAGAAGCCACCAAATTAGCCCCACAGAAGGACACGTTCGCTGTTCCATAACAAAGTTCTTCTCATTCTAGTTCTTCTGGTTCTTAATCTGCCCTGTTCCTCATCTGTAAATCATTAACTATCATGCAGCCCTTGTGGTCTGTAACAAATTTGCTGTAGTTTTTAGATTCGGAGCTAATTCAGATACCTCTATCTGCCTTCCTAAAAATCAAATTTTCTCATGCATGAACGGAGCGATGAAATATCTAGCTCATTCTGTTCCAATCTGCCTGTTGATTGCGCTTGGAAATTGAAATCTTGCACAAGTTCGTGTTGCTCATATTTATCCGAGACAATTTGATTTTCTTAGAAACAGTATTAAAGAAATCAATATAGTTTCGCTCCTGTTTTACCACTTTAAGGCCAGGGCCTGTTTATGCGCCGTCTTTTTCTGGGAGCTTCCAAGGAATCTGGCCTTTATCCTCTGAAGCAGCCCTGGTTCCCCCGTGGCCTCGGCTAGCCCGTTTAGATCGCAGGCCATGACGTTACCACGGCAGAGTGATAAAAGCAGACCCTTGAGGGAGGTTAGAAGAGCTCTGCTGGCTTTCTTTGATGCTTCGCTTTAGCCAAACATACTGCATATTAGGAAAAAAAAAATACTTTTGTTTTTTTTTTTGAGACAGAGTCTCACTGTGTTGCCCGGGCTAGAGTGAGTGCTGGGGCGTCAGCCTAGCTCACAGCAACCTCCAACTCCTGGGCTCAAGCCATCCTCCTGCCTCAGCCTCTTCCCGAGTAGCTGGGACTACAGGCATGCGCCACCATGCCTGGCTAATTTTTTTTTCTATGTATTTTTAGTTGGCCAATTAATTTCTTTCTATTTTTACTAGAGACGGGGGTCTCACTCTTTGCTCAGGCTGGTTTCGAACTCCTGACCTTGAGTGATCCAACCACTCCAGCTTCCCAGAGTGCTAGGATTACAGGCATGAACCACCTTGCCCTGCTAAAAAAAGAAAAAAAAAACTTTTAGAGCACCAACTCTTGGCAAACCCAAGAGCAGAATGTCACATAAACATCATTGCCGTAGGAAACAGGGGACCTAAGTCTTAGTCCTAGCTTGCTTCTACCTCCACTTGGAGCTCCAAGTAAATCACTTTCCTGTTTGTTTTTCTATGAAATGAGAAAATATAACCCGATCT